ACTAACTCAGAGTTAAGCGCGCACACTGCAATTATAAAAAGGCATTATCAATGCAGCGCAGATATTACGAGTCTTTACAGGAAGTCTATGGGGAGAAAAGTCCAGTGTGACCAGAGCTTTACAAACTAATGCTGTGGTCACACTACAGTTTGAGCTTGTGAAAAGGGATGGGATTAAACCAGATGATTAGACATTAAAAAAGTGAGTGATTGCTCTATGTTTTAAATTTCTGTCCAGAGAGGTCATGTTTTGATCCTCAATTGGTCCCACGCAATCATGTGATGCGATTTCGTTGGTCAGAGTGCACCAAACTTAAACTTTCCGAAGTAGCGAACTACGAAACTCGTCGCACAAGCTTGCATTTCAGGTCCGACGCATTCACGTGCATATGAATGGAAGTTTATAAGGAGAAAAGTGCAGTGTGACCTCAGCTTAATTTCTAGAGGATCACGTGCTATGATTGAACACGGCTGGTCTCACATCAACAATCATTGAAAAACCAATCAGATGAATCCAAGCCTACATACAGTTCATAGATAGTTTTTCTATATAAAATCCCCATCGACCCTTTCTACTCCTCGAGACCTAGCTGATCTCAGACATCCGTCTGTGCTAAATGACCAGTTGGGAGCCCTGGGCTCTAGTACTGTATCTTCGAGCTCAGGGTTCTCTCCTGGGACAGCATGCCAAACTTGCAATTAGTATCAAGCATTAGCTAAGTGAGAGCTCTTGAAATAGCTAAGAAAAATGTAATATAATTAAAGTTCTTTAATTGTTTTACACAGAATGTTATATATATTCTGAATCTTTTATTAAGTACATTCAGAATCTCTTCCTCATTTCCTAAGCACAGATTTGCCCACTTTGAGACACCAAACCCCTTTTTTCAAACCAACAAGAGCAGGGGAGCTGCTTCTCTGTGTGTCTGCTGAGGATCTGATGTGTTCAATGCTGAGAATAAACACATGTAAAGCAGCAGAATGGACAATGTTGCCAGTTTGTCTGAAGATGGTCTGCTATCATCCCTGAGCCCATGAGTTCAGCGTCACATGCAAATAATTCTAAAGGTTAGTCATGGTCCACAGAAAAGACAATTGCCCCTTTCACACTTACAGACTTTTCTGGAAAATTACCAATAAACTGCTGTGAAGTATTCGTGTGTGAACAGCCTTTTAAAATACCAGAAAATTAGTTTATGCAAATGTCCTGAATAAGAGGTTTAGATCTGCTGTGTGTGAAAAATCACAATTTTTAAAATTGTGCTGGTAAATTTGTTCTGATAATTATTTTGCAATTTACCAGTTTTACTGTATTAAAGGGGCTATTGTCAATATGTTCACCATTTTAATCCATTTCTCGAATTATTATTTAAACTTTGAAATACTTTTTTTCACTTAACCAGACAAAGTCAATGGTGTGTCGTCTACCAAAACAAACAAATTACTGTTTATTACGGAGTTCTCTAAATTTTTTAGGGGTTTTACTCTCAATTTTGACTAAAAAACTTTTAGTTATTTTATGAACCAGCACAAACACATGGACAAAATTTAGATTTGTTGGGAATAAATGGCCTTTGTATTTCAGATAAATATTAAATCACATTGGTGGCTTACGTTTTTCAGGTCATAAACCTGTTTGCTGTTTGTTCTCATATCACTGTTATAATTTGACCTTTAAATAGTCACATGTTGGCCTGCCTGGCACAATTTTTGCAGATAATTTTTTTAATATTTGTGTAATTTTAAACAATGGGGTAAAACCAACAGTTTAATGCTACTAAACAAAAAGAGGTTACACTTAATGATCTATTAATATGTAAACTAAACATTACTTTATTATAAACTAATGATGAATTAATGTATGTGCTAATCATGAACTAACTCACGCCACAGCCATATCACCCTGCAGCCCAAGACCGGTTACTTACTGAAGCTAAGCAGGGCTCAGCCTGGTCAGTACTTGGATGGGAGACCACTAGGTTGCTGTTGGAAGTGGTGTTAGCGAGGCCAGCAGGGGGCGCTCAACCTGTGGTCTGTATGAGTCTTAATGCCCCAGTAAAAGTGAAGGGGACACTACACTGTCAGTGGGCACCGTCTTTCGGATGACACGTTAAACTGAAGTCCTGACTCTCTGTGGTCATTAAAAATCCCATGGCACTTCTTGTGAAAGAGCAGGGGTGTAACCCCGGTGTCCTGGCCAAAGTCCCTCTATCGGCCCTTATGATCACGACCTCCCAATCATCCCCTTTCACCGAATTGTCTCTATCACTGTCTCTCCACTCCACCAATAGCTGGTGTGTGGTGAGCGCACTGGCGCCGTTGTCCTGTGGCAGCCGTCACATCATCCAAGTGGATGCTGCACACTGGTGGTGGTGTGGAGAGACGCCCCTCATGATTGTGAAGTGCTTAGGGCAGGGGTCCCCAATCCTGGTCCTGGAGGGCCGGTGTCTCTGCAGGGTTTAGCTCCAACTTGCCTCAACACACCTGCCTGGGTGTTTCAAGTAGACCTAGTAAGACCTTGATTAGCTAGTTCAGGTGTGTTTGATTAGGGTTGGAGCTAAAATCTGCAGGACACCGGCCCTCCAGGAACAAGTTTGATGACCCCTGGCTTAGGGTGTATTGCCATACACAATAAATGCGGTATATAAAAAAATAAACACTACATTACATTACAACTTTAACTACAACATCACATGAGTTTATGTGTGAATAATGGCTACCTTAATTACTTGTTAGTACATGTATAAATGAACATTTAATTTTAAGCTAAAGTCTTATGCAAAAATTTGGGCACCCCTCTGTGGCTGCAGAGTAATGTGCACTTTCTTTATGAGAGAAGATCGCTGTAGATGCCATTCGCTTTCTGCAGAAAGCTAGACAATGCCATGATTTTTTTAGACAGAAGTACAGAACGTAGTGTAGCTGTATTGAGATGTGTGAAATTAAGTTGAAACTCTTTAGTGTGGATTTAAAAACCTGTAGTCACTTGGTTACAACAAAACAATAATTGATTTGAGGGACTTAATGAAACTTAACAATCCTAACAAAGGTGCAAGCAATCATGAAAAAGGATATTTAAGATAGCTGATTGCTAGTTGTGCTTCTTCTTATTGTGAACCTGAAAGTAGCAACATGGAAATCTCAAGATATGTCACCAACATGAATTATAGGAGCTCCAGGAACATCTTGCTGCTATAATATCATTGTACATGGTTCTATAGCTCACTCAAAGACCAGGTCAATGAAAGGTGATGCAGAAGAAACCTTTTCTAGAATCTGCCAACAAGAAGAGTCGTTTGAGGTATGCAAAGGCTCATTTGGACAAGCCTGAATCATTTTGGAAAAATATACTGTGGACAGATGCCACAACCATGAACGCTTTGCATGGCAGAAAAAGAACACAGCATTCCAGGAGAAGAACGTGCTCCCTACTGTTAATTATGGTAGAGGTCTGGTCCATCATGCTGTGTGAATGTGTGGCAAGCACATGTACTGGAAACCTTGTCAGTGTTGAAGGTTGCATGGATTCCATCCAGTATCAGCAGATTCAGAAGAACAATGTTCAGGAATCAGTCAAGAGGCTGAAGTTACGGCAGAGTTGGATGTTTCAGCAGAACAATGATCCAAAGCAGTTCCAGATCTACCAAGGAATTTATGCCCAGATATGATACAATAATCTAGAATGGACATCCTAGCCCTCAAACGTGAACATCATCACAAAATTTATAGATTGGTTTGAAAAAGGCACCCATCAAACCTGACTGAACTGGAGAAATTTTGCAAGAAATGGTCCAAACTGCCTTCAGCAGGAATTTGGGGACTTATCCCTGACTATACGAAGCATTTACAGGCTGTTATTTCAGCTAAAAGTGGCTGTGCAAAAGATAGTAGATGTCATTATTCTGTCATTATTCACTGTTATTTAGTGTAAACGCAATAGACGGACGTGCTTAAGGTGTTCATGAGTAGTTAAGAATGGGTTAATGATGACTTGCCCCTCTAAGTAAAGTCATGATATAAATATACATTAACATATCATGAGTTTATGATGGTAAAATTAACCATTAAGTAATAAGGTAATTTTACCTTTTTAACCTTTTTTTTTTGTTAGTTCAATTTGCAAGAAAATGCCCTCAGCAAGAATTTGGGGACTTATCCCTGACTATAAGAAGCATTTACAGGCTGCTATTTCAGCTAAAGGTGGCTGTGCAAAAGATATTAGATGTCATTATTCTGTTGGGGTGCCCAAATTTTTGCACCTGTCTGATTTTGTTAAGACTTAAATTGCATTGCATCTCTTAATTAAACAAATTTTGTATCAGAACTGAAATGTTACTTTTTCCCTAGGGTATAAAATATATCCAAATGAAATAGTTGATCTGAAAGGCCAGCAGGCTATGGCTTGCAATTATGAAAATTGTCAAGGGAGGCCAAACCTTTGCATAAAACTATAAATGTAACCAACTCATGAGCTGTTAATGTATAATTATGTCATGACTTTATTTGGAGGAGCACATCACCGTTAACTACTCATGGACTCCTGTGTGTAAACTGTTTATGTTGACAAAACACTTTACTGTTATTTAGTGTAAACGCAATAGACAGACGTGCTTAGGTGTTGATGAGTAGTTAAGAAAGGGTTAATGATGACTTGCCCCTTTAAGTAAAGTCATGATATAAATAACATATCATGAGTTTATGGTGGTAAAATTAAGCATTAAGTAATGAGGTAATTTTACCCTTTATGCGGTAAAGTTAGTTCATTATTAGTGCATGCATTAACGCATCAGTTCATAATAAAGTTATAATGTTTAGTTTAAATATTAACACATCATTATTCATGTACTGTTATTGTAAAGTGTTACCAAAAATAGATTGGTGTCTGAATATATTTTAGTGTTAATCAAATATATTTTAACTCATGTTTAAGAACAACAAATAAGTACAACTTTATTCCATTGTGAATTTAAGACATGCCAAAGCCAAGAAAGTCAAACAGCGTTTTGTTAAAAATTGGTCATTTATTTTTAAAGCATCAGTCACATTGCATTCATACATGTGCTCAGTATCATTTATCAATATCATCAGACTGAGGAAGAGCAGGATCGTGCCATGCTGGTCGGTTTTCAAGCTTTTGCAAAAAGTCCGAAGTGACTGGATCAAGCTGACAATTCATGAAGAGGACAAAAGAAGTCACCGATGACATGCAAAATGTACAGTATATGCTCATATTGCTTGTGGTGGTGTGAAGTAAACACTGCGCATGAGCAGAATGGGTCACACTTTACAACATGGATAATATTTTATAATAAATGAATCAGTTAATGTATTTACTAACACTAACTAGGAACAAACAATACATGTACAGCATTTTTAATCATAATTCAGTATTAAATAATGCATTAATAAATCGAAAGTTGTACTTGGTAAATAAGGCATAGCCTATATAGGCTAATGTTGTCCAAACAGAGCACTTCTGTATTAGACTAAAGTGCTTTATTCTGTGAAAACAACTGGCTTTATGTACATTTTTCTGCTTATTACATGGATACTTGGCACAGACTTAAACTTTCAGATGACAAAAAATATTGATCTGAGCTGTAGTAGTTTACTAGCTCTTTTAAAAAGCTTGCAATAAGAATTCTCAGCGGGCACCTTGATATAAAAACAACATCAAACATGCTAATCGATTTGATGCTAGCTACCCACGTAGCAAAATATCTCTGGCCCACACAATCAGCTTTTGCTTGGCCCACATGCCGTAGTGAATTACAGTACATGATTGGACCAAGCCGGTCTTCCAGAAAAGGGCCAAACATAGACTATATCTGGGCCAAGTTAATAAATAACTGAGCCTGAACTGGGCCATATATGTTGGTGTGTCATGACAATGCAATGTAATTGATAAACCCATGAAGCACTGCTCTTTAGGCGTGCTGTGGGTGTGCTTTTTACTTGATTGGTAGCCTTTTTTTCTGTATTTGAACATAATAAACATGTATTTTAAATGTGAATGGCACACATATCAATTATTAATATCTGGGCCAAATACTACAATTTACATCTGGCCCAAGTATTGTGTGCCACCTCAGCCAAACCAGGGAGAGAGCTATGCATGAAGACCTGGTGCAGTGCAATCTGAGCTGCATCCAATGCTTTTTAATGCACTCACTAACCCACCCCTAACCCTACCTATCACAGTGACATCACTCACTCCATTGAGTGCATTGTGTCTGAGATTGCATCGCTGAGTGATGCAATCTCAGCTTGCAGCATAAAGGCTGCATCCAGATACTATTATGTTTAGCCCACATGCTGTATGCCAGTGCCGGATGGATGCCTGCTGTGACAGAATCTGGGCCAGAATTCTTTTCTTCCTGGGTAACTAACTTGATGTCTAATAGACAACAAATTCACATCTAACACTGGCATCAAAACACGTTAAAGCTTGATTAGCCCACAGAACTGTCCTTTAATCGATTTTGGACGTGTTTTCTGTCATATCAATTAGACATCAAGGAAATTTACATGCGTTGTAGGGATATGAAATGCAGTGGAAATTTCATAGGAGTTTGGAATTTAAGTTTCAGATATTTCCTTTATTATTAATGTTTGTATGTCCAATGGACATGGTTTTGTTTTGAAACTAAATTGATTTGCGTTTTTTGACGTGTTTTTGATGTTGTTTTGACATCAAGGTGTTCGCTGGGTTGTCAACAAACTGTATCTTTTAAAATATTACACAGAATTTATCCTGTAAGAGAGTTATTTGAATGATTTAAAGTGGATACAGAGAACTCTTGTGATTTTTATGGTATTGTTAAGGAATCTGTTGCTCATCTTTTTTTATGTGTATACTCAAGATTATTTTTGGATTGATGTTTCTAACTATTTCAAGAAAATTTGGTACACTAATACAAATTGGATTATTTGATCTCATGTTTGCTTTAGTACAAGATGGGATTGATTCAAAAAGTACAAGCTTTTTTTCTTATACTACTAATAATATTACTTGGAAAATCCAAATTGTGAACATTTTATAAAGAAAATTAAACAATATGGTACTACATATGTAAGATTAGAAACAGAAAAGCTAAAAAAAAACATATAAAGCATTATGTACATTTCACTTGATTAAATAAAAGTTTATTATTATTATTATTATTATTATTATTATTATTATTATTATTATTTTCTTACCTATTTATTTATCACCCCTGATATGTTTTTACTTTGATTGTTTAACTAAGATAATTTTTCTCATTTTATTTAATTTATTTTTATTTTATTCATAATTGTTGTGAGATCTATTCTCTTGTACTAAGTTTGTACATATTTACAATAAAGAAATTGAATTTAAAAAATTTGTAAACAAACAGCTGAAAGCGACTACAACCTGCTTAGTTTTCAGCCACAAGGTGGCGCCATATTATAAGAATTTATTATAAATATTAGATTCACTAAGGGTCAAGATTATTCAAAAGTACCCAGATGAGCCTGTGTTATTAGTTTCAGCAGTTGTTTTCTGTGAATAAAATATATTGGAATCTCATAATTGACCAATCAGAATAAAGTAATCCAGAAAGCCATCTACCAACATTCGTCATTGCACTGTAAGTTGACAAGTACTAACGATGAACTGTACGTTCATTAACAAATATAAATCAATACTGTAATAACTATACTGCTCATTGTTTGTTCATGTTACTAAATACATTAACTAATGGAACCTTATTGTAAAGTGTTTCCACTGAATGAATGACTGTTTAACCTTATGAATGTTTCAACTAATGAAAAACACATTTGTCAAATACATAATGAAAAATTAGTACAAAACAAAAATGGAAGGAAATTAATGAGAAAAATGCATATTAATCGAGCTCTCAACTGGTTGCTGTGACATCTCAATTATTAATAATACATACTCACACTCATGTTCTTTTTAAACATGCTCTTTCAATCAATAAATCCACCATTTAACTAGCATGTTTTGCTTATTAATCCACTTCATACATTTAACAAAACCATCTTGGAAGTACAAATACTATGATACAAGTTATTGCTTCACATGTCGTAAGATGAATTTTTAGTCAATGATATAATTAAAATTGGCACCAATGTGGAATTAAAGGACGGCAGTACCGCTTATACCACCTTATGCAAAGATGATTGTTTTCAAATATGGTGATATATAATTTGCATACTCTATGTTCTGGGTTGCATAATCACTGAGAAATGTCGTAATAGTAATGCCGCAGTCTGGGTTCGACTACAGAAAATCCAGGTCTCTCATCTGGCCTGCAGAAATGAAACAGACAAACGTTAATTATTCCAAATTTTTTTGTAACAGAGTTTCAAATAAATGCTGATTAAAAGAAGCATCTTTACAATTACACTGTATGGTTGTTTACACTTGTTTCAGTTTGATCATATTTTGCCAATGGTTAACAATTAAATTGAGGTTCAATCAAGAAGATTCATACACGTTTAGTATTACCAATTTAAAAATGTATAGAATTTTTTTTTACTTTGCAATTCTGATCATTTTGAGTGTACCATACAACTTTAATTTAACAATTTTTACTTTTGTTTTTGCAATTTTTGCTTTTTTAAATGTATTTAAATCCTGTCCTTGCAATAATTACGTAATCATTAAGTAAATTCTTTATTTTATTTATGTGATTGTGAAATTATATATTGGATTTTTGAATTTGTAAATCCCTTTGTCTTTAAAATTTTAAGTTTATATCTTACAATTCCTTATTCCACCCTTTTTTTTCCAATATGGCATGATTTAGCATGAAATTGTTTCACACTGTTTTTTGGCATTGATTTACAGTGTGATAATGCTAAAGCCTTGCTTATCCTGTTTTCATTCATTCATTCGTTTTCTTGTCGGCTTAGTCCCTTTATTAATCCGGGGTCGCCACAGCGGAATGAACCGTCAACTTATCCAGCACATTTTTACGCAGCGAAGATGCCCTTCCAGCCGCAACCCATCTCTGGGAAACATCCACACACACACACGTTCACACACACACTCATACACTATGGACAATTTAGCCTACCCAATTCACCTGTACAGCATGTCTTTGGACTGTGGTGGAAACCAGAGCACCCGGAGGAAACCCATGCAAATACAGGGAGAACATGCAAACTCCACACAGAAACGCCAACTGAGCCGAGGATCGAACCAGCAACCCAGCGACCTTCTTGCTGTGAGGCGACAGCACTACCTACCTACGTCGCCCTATCCTGTTTAATAACCCAGTAAAAGCAATGATGCTAACACTGCTACTGAATTATAACTGTAAAATGTTGCTTCCCTCAAAATTAAAAGTGATGTTCAGAATGGTATTAACCCATGGTTTTTCTAGTAAACGTTGACTTACTTGTATGTCCAGCATTTCTTCATGAGGTCGTACATCTCAGGTGGGCAGTCGGGCGGTGCGGACATCCGCTGTCCGTTCTCAATCATTTGGATGACTTCATTTCCCTTCATGCCCTACAAAAGATAAGATGAATAAACCAACATGAGCATCTTTGCTATTATACACTCGCCGGCCACTTTATTAGGTACACGTTACTAGTACCAGACTGGACCCTTTTTTGCCCTCAGAACTGTCTTCATGGCATAGATTCAGCAAGGCACTGGAAATATTCCTGAGAATATTTTGGTCCATATTGACATGATAGCATCACGCAGTTGCTGCAGATGTGTCGGCAGCACATCTATGATGCGAATCTCCCATTCCACCACATCCCAAAGTCCTCTACTGGATTGTGATCTGGTGACTGTGGAGGCTATTTGAGTTCAGTGAACTCACTGTCATGTTTAAGAAACTGGTCTGAGATGATTTACGCTTTATGACTTATTTCTGCTGGAAATCATATCCTGCTGCCATCATAAGATGTGTACACTGTGGTCTTAAAGGGATGGACATGGTCAGCAACAGTACTCAGGTAGGCTGTGGCATTGACACGATGCTCAATTGGTACTAATAGGCCCAAAGTGTACCAAGAAAATATCCCCCACACCATTACACCACCGCCACCAGCCTGAACTGTTGATACCAGGCAGGATGGATCCATGCTTTCAAGTTGTTGATGCCAAATTCTGACCCTACCATCCAAATGTTGCAGCAGAAATCGAGACTTATCAGACCAGGCAACGTTTCTCCAATCCTCTATTGTCCTATTTTGGTGACCCTGTGCCCATTGCAGCCTAAGTTTCCTGTGTTTAGCTGACAGTAGTGGCACCCGGTGTAGTCTTCTGCTGTTGTAGCCCATCTGCCTCAAGGTCTGATGGTTTGTGCGTTCAGAGATGCACTTTTGCATACCTCGGTTGAAACAAGTGGTTATTTGAGTTACTGTTGCCTTTCTATCATCTCAAACCAAAAGTCATCTTTATTCCCCATTTTGATGCTTGGTTTGAACTGAAGCAAATTGTCTTGACTGTGTCTACATGCCTAAATGCATTGAGTTACTGCCATGTGATTGGCTGATTATGAACTTGTGTTAACGAGCAGTTGGGCTGGTGTACCTAAAGTGCCCGGTGATTGTAAATTCACTACTATTAACACTTATAAAATCATGCTTGATAATAGATGGATTAAAATTTCAGATATAATATATACTGTATATTATATAAAATTTCTAAATAAATATCAACCCCATTAGGGCCACATTCCTTACTATATAGTAATCACAGTACATGAAATACAGCAGTATCAATCTTTTATTTTGAAATAATACTTTTTGTGCAATAAGTATTTTGCTACATTTTTACTCATTGTATCGAATAAGTTTTCCTAAACTAATTTCTAATAACTGATTTATTTTATCTTTGCCATGATGAAAGTAAATAATATTTACTTATGCACAGCTTAAAGTGATATTTAAAGGCTTAACTAGGTTAATTAGGTTAACTAGGCAGGTTAGAGTAATTATTGTGTAACGGTCGTTTGTTCTGTAGACTGTCAAAAAAATATAGCTTAAAGGGGCTAATAATTTTTTACCTTTAAAAGGGTTTAAAAAAATTAAAAACTGATTTTATTCGTACCAAAATAAAACAAATAAGACTTTCTCCAGAAGAAAAATATTATCAGACATATTGTGAAAATTTCCTTGCTCTGTTAAACATCATTTGAAAATTATTTTAAAAAGAAAAAAAGTTCAAAGGGGGGCTAATAATTCTGACTTCAACTGTATATTCTACAATATAAATATATTAGTCAATATTTGACAAAACGATGTTACATAATACATAACAGAAATGAGGGGCCCTTAATATGTTTCCTCCTTCTGAAACATACTCATAATCTATACACATCAACTGATCTGATACAAAATATGTCGGTCAAAAATGTTTGAAAGGATCCCTGCAGCACTGGTCAACATAACACACAGATTCTACTCACCTTGTATGGTTTCTGTCCGTATGAAAAAGCCTCCCACATCAGGACTCCAAAGCTCCACACGTCACTCTTTGAAGAAAATTTCAAGTAGTTCATGCACTCGGGTGCGTACCATTTCAACGGCCATTTACCATGACCTTTGGCCTGAACAGGAGTAAACAAAGAGTGGTTAGGTTTTCACTCTCGTACACTATAAATAAACCATCACTTTGCACATTACATCAGTGAGTAGTGCCGTACATTAAAATAAAAGGCCACGACTAAACACGGAGGATGATCTCCAAATCAAAATCTCCTAAACAAAATTATAATGATTGAAAAAATTATATGGTTGTTAGACTGCTGCACTTTTTTGTGTTGCCAATATGCTCATGTTTATATAGTTCCTATTGGTGTATGTACACGTTGTGTGCAATATGTGTATGTTTATAACCACATTTGAGAATAGTGGGGGTCGCAAATATCTGGAATTGTTATTTTGGGGGTCCTTGGCTAAAAAGTTTGGGAACCCCTGCTATAGAAGACCCATGTTGTGTTTACCCAAAGTACATTTAAGTGAGCAGTTCTTAAAAATGCTTAAAAATGGAGTAGAAAGGTTCCATAGATGTTTAAAGGTTCTTCATGGAACCATCACATTCCCAATCTAAAATGTACATGAAAATACATTATTGTTGTAGGTATTTAAACCAGAATTTGTGAAAAAATAAACAAAACCAAACATTGGTTTTGACGTGAATACTAAACCCAGGGGTTGAAAGTATTGCAAAGAATCCATTATTCTTTAAATTAATGAAGGGAAACTTTAAAAAAAAAAAAAACATATTGTACCTTGTAATAGTTCTCATCCTCTGTCAGGGCTTTAGAGAGGCCAAAGTCGCTGATTTTTGCATAATGCTGAGTGACTAAAAGCACATTCCTGGCTGCAAGATCTCTGTGAACAAAGTTGTGCTCTTCCAGATATTTCATGCCCATTGACACCTGATGAACCAGCTCTGTGAGGTTCTTCACAGTGATGTGCCTGAAAACACAAGCATAAACAAAAAAGCGAAAACATTACAATGTAAAATGCTGTTATATAGGCCAGCTAATTAAATGTATTGAGAGTTACACACACTGCAAAAAATGCTTTTCTCACTTAGATTTTTTGTCTTGTTTCTAGTCTATATACCTAAAAATTCTTAAATCAAGAAGCATTTTTCCTTAAAACAAGCAAAATAATCTTCCATTTTTTCGATCGTCTACAAAACAAACCATCATTAACTTGCCTAATATACCTAACCTGCCTAGTTAACCTAATTAACCAAGTTAAGCCTTTAAATGTCACTTTAAGCTATAAAGAAGTGACTTGAAAAATATCTAGTCAACTATTGTTTACTGTCATAATTTTAAAGATAAAACAAATCTGTTATTAGAAATGAGTTACTAAAACTATTATGTCTAGAAACAGGGAGCTAATAATTCTAAAATAAACTATATATATATATATAATAATCTAAAAAGACATTAACCATTAACTGCTTTTTTACAAATCGCCAAGAATCACAAATTTAGTTAAGAAATCTATAACGTGCTACTGAAGAAAAAAAGTCAGCTACATCTTGGATGACCTGAGGTTGAGTAAATTAACTGTAAGTCTTTAAAAAAGATCTTTAGCCATCACCATATTCATAACAGCACAGTATCTCAAGTCTCATTACATATTTGTAGCATGACGTACTTGTTCTTCTGCAGAAACTTGTGAAGCGGCCCCAGTTCAGCGAGCTCCATAACCAGCATAAGGTTTTCCGCTTCACAGATCCCAATCATGCGGACTATGTATGGATTATCCAGCTGCTGCATGACGTTCGCCTCCCGCAACATCTCGTCCTTTACTGCTGCATTATCGTCATCATTCTTTAGGATCTTAACAGCAACAACCTTCTGTGTTCTGAAGTAAACAAACCACATACACTCTTAAAATGTGTCTGAAAGAAACACTCAGTTAATTTTTGAAAATAAAAACATTTAGAACCCATTAAGCCAATTTTTTTAGTCAGGCAGTGGCACTTTGAACTTAGCTTAGCATAGATTAGACCATTAGCATCTCACTCAAAAAATCCAAAAAAGAAAATTAAAGCTTGACTCTTCTCTGGTTACATTGTGTAGACCAACCGAAAATGAAACGTTGCTATTTTATAGGCTGATATGTCCAGGAACTATAATCTTGTTCTGGCGTAATAATCAAGTAACTTTACTGCTGTACCATGGCTGCAGCGGGCACAATGTAATTACCTACTGCTTTTGCTATAGATTTTGCTGTTTGTTTAAACAATTTTTAAAAAATGAGCTGAAACAACACAATTATTGAGAGTTTTTTTGACACATTTTATGTTCAATCCACTTAAATTTATAAAAACTCAGTTAAATTGATTGTGTGGAACCCAGCATTTTCAACAGTGTGTAGTTACCCAGCAAGGGGCTTTCATTTTTGGTCAGTTTTACAGTACACGATGTAACTACAGAGGAGTCAAGCTTTAAATAGGAAAGTGTTTAAAACTCTTTTTAAAGATTCTGAGATGCTAATTGTCAAAGAAAAAGTCCATGATCTATGCTAAGCTAAGCTAAAATTGCTCCCGCCAGAGTTCAGCTGAAGGGTTTCAAAAATATTTGTTTTGTAAATGATTTATTACATGTTTAAAACATATTGAAACAGACTGCAATTTATGCAAATATGTCGTTGCACTATGCCTGATCATGGTAGATCATCCGCATTTTATGAGCATCGGCTTATTTGCCACAATGCTAATTTGTTCTGTGCTTTTTGCATTTGTCAATATATAAATAAGATGCTACTGTTTGTTCTTTAATCTGTGCATTTTCTGTAAATCATCAGCAGATATTTTTACACCCATCAGCCAGGGGTGATTCTAGGGTTGACAGGTTAGGCTAAGGACTTTTTAGCAACGACCATGCCATCGGCACTGTTCTAAAGTTGTGCTGTCGCTCAAATTTGTTTTGTTTGTTTTTAAAGAGCCCCTATTATGGGTTTTTGAAAATGGCCTTCCATGTAGTGTGTAACACAGCTCTAAGTGAAGTGAAATATTCAGCTCAGACTTAAATCTGAAAGTGCGCCGTGTTTAAAACTATTGATTCATCTACAAAAGAGTTGACTCATAGTGCTTCAAATGAATCTTCTTGATAACATGTCTTTAGCTGTTTTGGCGTGATGTCTGTAGGAAACTTAAGCCCCGCCCAATTGTTGCACGTGCAAACCCCGGAAAATTAAAACCAGCCCCGCCCACAAACACTGTAGCATGAAAGAGAGGAAGACAAACACTGTAGCAGATCCCGATTGAATCAAATAATGAAAGCGCTGTGCTCAGCTGGATATTATTGGTAGTGTGAGGGAAAGTTAGTGTTATTTTCTTTCCCCAAACCATTGGTTGAGGTCCTTTTTCTGATGCTTACAATGGGGGATTCATCAGCCGTTTGTTAAAGGAAGGATCAGAAAAGACTAGGGATGTAACGGTATTGTAAATACCGTCATACCGCAATATTAATTTTTTTTATATTACCGTAGTCGCATGACTCGGTAAAACTATAGGTCTTCTGAGAAAATTTGCTCAGGCGAATGAAGCGAACGGGAGGTAGCAGAAACTATAATTCCCATCAGCCCAGGCTTTGCCATCATCCCTTGCGGTCTGTTGTCGCTACAGATCCAGTAATGCGGAAATGGAGTGTGCTGCTAGAAGCGGGCATCAAAAAGAGCTGGAAATGATCGAACCTGAAGCGGGTGTTGTCGCCGCACGCGTACTGAATAGTGGTGTTGTCGCGCGCGTTCTGATCAGCTGTGTTGTCGCGCGCGTACTGAATAGCGGTGTTGTTGCGCGCGTTCTGATCAGCTGTGTTGTCGCGCGCGTACTGTAAAGCGGGGAGGGGGGGTGGAGCGCGCATACTCAAGAGCGGTGTTGTCGCGCGCCTACTGAAGGGCAGGACGGAGGGTGTGACACAGCACACTGTTCAGATTGATACAGACATGAGACCTCTATCTCACTCATGGCTTGTCCTCTCAAATGGGGGAAAGACAATGCACAACGTTACCCACTGCTGTCAACCTGGGCCAAGTCATATCTCTCTGTCCCAGAAACCTCAGTCCCAAATGAGAGGGTTTTTTTCTGTTGCAGGGGACATTGTAAATGCCCAGAGATACCAGCTTTTACCAGATTATATTTATATGATAATTTTCCTTAAAGCCCATCTCTATCTAAGTGAGTGAGTGATTAAATGTTGAATGTGATGAGTTTTCAACAAAACTAAATTAAAACTTTATTTTTTTACATGGTTTAATAATTTTTTGTTATTAAAATTGAAGTTCCTGTTTCAAAGCTTACAGATAGATGGCTAATTTGTATGTCATTGACACTTTTGGCACTTTTTGGAGTATTTTCATAAGTTTTGTTTTTTCCTGTAAATGATTCAATAAATACAGTACCGTGACATTCATACCGAGGTATTACCGTACCATGAAATTCGGATACTGTTACATCCCTAGAAAAGACTACTGATGTGTGGGACTTTGCCAGAGCTTGACAGGAACTTTATCAGTACACAGTTCACCAGTTTCCTTCTCCATTTCACAAGTGTAAGTAAGTGTGATTAAAATGGTAGCCTCTTTGTTTTCTCTAGCTTGCAAATTATGTATTTAATTGTGTTTTGTTACTTGTAATCGCTTGTAGTACGGGAGACTCCTGGAAAAACAGGAGTTTTGGAAGGTATGCTCACACATACACTCTGCACTCTGACTACTTCCATATTGTTGATAAGCTGTGGTGGGCATTTCACTCTGTCTCGCGCTGAAAGCTGTCGACCAATCGCAACAGACTGTCATTGGTCCAATCAGCACAGATAAGCTTCACGCTAAGGAGGGGTTTGGGAACAAATGAATCGCTGAACGAATCATTTGCGAGTCGCTGGGATAATTAGATAAAAATAAATGCAGATTATAAGACAATGAAAGTGTTTTTTGACCTTGCATGCATAACAGCCTGTTGTTGGAGACCATATCCAAAATATGACCATTTTAATAGATAATAGGGGCTCTTTAAATCTGTCCCTTGATATTCTTATTAATGACAAAAATCCGCCTGAAATGATGTTCTACATAAACTTGGTTGACTCACTTTTTCATCTGGTAAACACCTCTCAGGACAGTGCCAAAGTTCCCTGAGCCTAGTTCTCCATCTTCCAGAGTCAGATCACTGCGGTTCACTTTAGTCGATCGCAGCTCATCGGGATCTGCATATGGACTTTCATACACCTGTGTGTCCATTGGCATAGCTGGTATGAAGACAACACAACAATAATTAAGAAGACAGAAAGAAATAATTACACCACAGTCAGGTTTAACCTAGCAGTCAATAGTTTGAACACTCATATTCAAATTTAATTTTATCAAAACTATAGAAATTGAAGTATGATTAAAGTTCAGCACTTGTTAGAAAATATGTGGACATGGTGAAAATTTAGCAAAAATGAGATTACCTTCACACACCCAGTTGTCACTTAATAATGTTAAACTTTCTGTTCCTCTTTAAAATCCTGCCTAGATGAGATCTGTCCTCTTGCCACCAGGTCAATGTTCTCTTTTCCCTGTAATCCCTGACTGTTCTGAGAGAACATTGAACAGCACTCAAGACAACAGAGCAAGAATGGTGCAAATCAAATCCCCCGCTGACCATAGTCCAGCTGGCATCATTCGCCTCCCAAATCCATTCGGCCAAAACCCTATACTACAGTAACAGAATTAACAGCACTTTAGACCCCCGAAAACCATTCAGGACACTTAATACCCTGCTCTGTCCTCCTCCACCACCTCCTTGTTAGCTGATGATTTGGCCTCAAATTAGCAGTTTATTTCACACCACATTTATCTAAAATTTCCACCAAACAACACCCTCTGAAGAAAATTCACTCTCCCTTCTCCCTCCTCACTTAGGAAGAAATATCTAAAGTTATCCTCTCTGCGCATTTCGCAACTTTCCCCATGGACCCAATTCCCTCACACATCCTGCAGGATGTTTCCCCGGCCATAGTGCCAGACCTAATAGACATCATTAACACTTCATTCTACACTGGCACGTTCCCGACTACTTTTAAGCAGGCCCAAAACTGGAAAATTACAGAATCACTTTCTATGTATTGCTGAAACACCGGAAAGAGTTGTCTTCAACCAAATTTCTGAATGTTTACCACACAAAAACCTGCTGGATGCAGTCCAATCAGTCTTCAAATGTGGACATTTCACTGAGACTGCACTACTTTTGGTCACTTAAGCCCTGCACTCTGCTTTTACTGGACCTGTCTGCTGCTTTTGATATGGTGAATCATCACATTCTACTGTCTTGCCTTTCCTCAATGGGAACACTGGAACCCCGCTCTGCTTGTTGGAGTCTTACCTCACCAGCAGATCATTTAGAGTTGCCTGAAAAGAAGAAGTTTCTAAAGCTAATCAGTTGGTCACTGGGGTACCTCATGGATCTGTTCTGCTCTGCCTTTTGAGGTCCCGTATTACTCTCGTGAGTGATTTTCACACCTGCTCCCCTTTGGTAAATCGACTGACTGACTGACTGGCTGACTGAGGGTGTACTTACACTATGCTATCCGAACTGTGCCCAGGCTCATTTCCCGGTCCGTTTGAGAAGTGTGAGTGCTCTGAATTGGGCTTAGGCATGGTTCGCTTGGCCAGCCCTGGCCCGGTTGGAAGAGGTGTGCCAGACCGTGGTTCACTTGGGCTCAGTAGTGTGTGTAAATAGCAACTGAACCCGAAACTGAAGATGAGACGTGACTTTTAAGACATGTTTCATATGTGTTTATTAATCATTCTTACTGTTCAATGAACGCAAACTGTCGTAGTTTATTAAAGACAAACCCCTCACTGCACCACAGCTGCACCTTCAGCAAACCTTCTAATTCCTGCAGCACAAGGACTTTGTAATTGTTTATAAGCATCAAAGTTGGCTGATCTGTTCGGCGAAATATTTGACTACGTGTCTAAACGACTAAAACAATACAACGATATAAAGCAATCTCCCTGTTTTAAGCAAGAGGGCTTCTTAAACTGAACAGCCCACCATCGATGACGTAAGCGTGCTCAGGCCTAAATGCGATGTGAGTGCGGGCCTTCAGGGGAGATGGGAGTGGGGGTTCAAAGCAACTGTACAGTGTGAGTACGCCCTGAGTGATTGACTGACCTAACCTCCTCCATCCCTTAACCCAACCAATAGTGTTTTCAAAACCCCCGGTTGACCAGCGTCCACCCACTTCCTTATACACAACTGATAGTGTTTTCAAAAGCAATCCAGAAAAGGAAAAACTGTCTGATTTTTACTGCATTTTCCAATTTTACCACATTCTCACTCTGTTTTTTACATTCTTTTTTGCTTTTGTTTTCCTCGCTTTCTTGAACTGTTCTTCACCAGACTCAAACCCCGTTTTCATGGTCAACTTCTCTCTTGTGTCCGTCGATATACGCAGTGAGCCAATGAGCAAACTGGTAACAGCGGGAAAGCCATCCATACAAAGGTAAGAGGTCAGCTGGTCATATCACTCTGTAGCTTTCGTTTTAAAGACAAAGGGCAGCCATACATACTTCTGGTTACATAATTTACAATCTCCACAAATCTATATAGGGCTACGCTTTTCAGAATAAGCCTATGTTGGATCTGTTCTAGATCTTCTTCTATTTTCTTTGTACACCACATCGCTGGGAGCCAAAAGGCCATTTGACTTCACAGCTCCATCTTTCATTTCATCCTGATGACCCATACTGTAGGTAGCTGCAAGGATTTTACACTGTCTGGAGAATATCTCAGTTTGGAATATCACCTACAGCTTAATTTGGCAAAAACTGAACTTCTCGTCTTCTCTGCAACTCCAAACATTCAACAGAATTTCGTAATCCAATTGGGAACATCTACTATTACCCCATGTAGTTTGATAAGGAATCTTGGGGTGTCAAGAAACTCATTGGTTTGAGGACAAAACACAAAAACACACCTAAACGGTGTCTTTAGGTGTGCCAGTGTATCTAAAGATCACTAAATATCACTAAAATAAATTGAGTGATGTGTTCAAACTTTGACGGCTAGTTTGAGGGTTGAAGCACACCAACCTGAATCCAAGAAATTACCCTGCTTGGAATAGTCGTCTTTGCCGTTAGGTGTGATTTTATAAGGGTTTTCAGCAGAACCCTACAAGCAAAGAACATAATTATATATGTGAAAACACACAGGTCCACGTAGCAAAAGCTGAAAGGACACAGGCAGGTAATCTGAAATGCCTGCATGCATCAATGGGAAAGAAGGACAGGGTCAAACCAAACGTTCCTGTGTTCTTCATGGCACCTTGAATCAGAACTGTAAAAATGCAAAATTACATTTACTAAGATGAGTCAATGTTATGTAAATGAAAACTCATTGATACAGCGTTTTACATGATGTGGTCAGTGTCCATGAAGAAGAGGAGAACCTTCTTCCAAAGGGTCAAAAAGCCAAAATGTAGTGTATAAATGGATAAAATAAGAAAAGAGATCTCTTGCAGATTGATAATTATGTCATTGGTACCATTAAATAGGAGTGATGGAGAAGGAAAATGGAAATATGCATGTATGATTGGGGCACCATTTAGAAGCTGAAAAATCAACAGATATCTAATATAATCATAAATGATTGCCATATCTTTAGACAATGATCCAGCCATTGCCTTTTTCCAAACCCTGATTTTATGCAGTTGGAAAAAAGCAGTCGACAGATGTGAACATTTGATTTATAAAAGCATATATCAACAATGTTACTGTCACTTCTGTCAATTTAAATGTAAAACACACACAAGAACAAAATTGACCCCAGTTTATCGACTGGTTTTGCATATAAAGGCAAGGTTTAAAATGACTTAAAATTATCCTGACTAATGCAGTCTCAATCTTGAGTCAATATGATAACCAACCTTACAGATGAGGGTTTTATTTTTATTTCACCGTTTTGGTTTTAATGTTGTAGAATAAAGGTTATGATTTCTTTTACATCCTTGCTGGAGAAAAGAAAAACATCTTAAAACTGGACTAGCTGGTATATGATTGTGGTAAAATAAAAAACACCCATCTGTAAACAAATATTAATGCTGAAGTAACATACAGTTTAAGTCAGAATTATTAGCCCCCCTTTGAATTTTGCTTGCTTTTTTAAATATTTCTCAAATGATGTTTAACAGAGCAGGGAAATTTTTACAGTATGTCTAATAATATTTTTTTCTACTGGAGAAAGTTTTATTTGATTTATTTCGGCTAGAAAAGCGTTTTTTTTTTTTTTTGGGGTCAATTATTAGCCCCTTTAAGCAATTTGTTTTTTCTCCATAGTCCACAGAACAATCCATCATTCTACACCGACTTGTCTAATTACCCTAACATGCTTAGTTAACTTAATCAACCTAGTTAAACCTTTAAATGTCACTTTAAGCTGTATAGTAGTGTCTTGAAAATATCTAGTAAGTATTATTTACTGTCATCATGGCAAAGATAAAATAAATCAGTTTAGTACTAATTCAGGGGGGCTCATATTTCTGACTTCAACTGTATATGTATATTGTTTCATTGAAGAAAAAGAAAAATAGACGCAAGTTAAAATAATGTACCTTGACTTAAATCATGTATCCACCTTATTTTTTAAGGGACATGTAAACTATTTACTATTACAACCAGTTACCATAAAATGAATAAAAAATAAATACATGGGAACTGTGACTCACATAAAGGTCTAAGATCTATGATAAAAGTGCTCCCGCCAGACCCAGAGATCAGCTGAATGAATTTATAAATGGTAAATCTTAACTGTTTAACTCTAGTGGAGTTGTAAAATGTGCCTATTTTATGTGTTCCTTTAATATTACATTGTGTTTAAAATTAACAGTGTGTTAAGATTTTGTTTCAAGTCCATATAGTTCAAAGATTTATAAGCATTACACAGTCCGAATTTGGAGAGTTGTTGCAAATAAAGGGATTAAGTTACAGGCTTAATCTCTCTCTGTGTGCCAAATTATATTAGACAACAGAAAAAGATGACCAGTATATATGAATACTTCAACACAAACATTAAGGACACATACTACAACCGCAAATCAGAGAAGTTCGGTACTGAATGGAAAACGCAAATAAAAAAAGAAAGTAGTGATTTCCAATGATTTACTTTGTCTTGTATTTCAATGCTGACAATATGAACACAAAATATTTCATGTTTTGTCTTGTAAACTTCATTTCATTTGTAAATACACATCCTTTCCTGTCATTCAGACCTGCAGGACATTCCAAAAAAGTTGGGACAGGAGCAATTTAGGGCTAGTAATCAGATAAATTTGGTTAAATGATGATTTGATTTGAAACAGGTGATGTCAACAGGTGACTGTAATCATGATTTGCTACAAAAGCAGCATCCAAGAACGTTAATCGCCACATGGACTCAGGACTACTTTGGCAAATCTTTGTCAGGTACCACAGTACATAGATACATCCACGAATGGCAGTTATAACTGTACTGTGCCAAAATGAAGCCCTATGTTAACAGTGTCCAGAAGCACTGTCAATCTCTCTGAGCTCTAAGGCATGTATGATGAACCATCCCACAGTGGAAAGTGTACTGTGGTCAGATGAATTAGTATTTCGGGGGAGAAATGGACATTGTGTGTTTTTGACCAAAGAAGAAAAGGATCAAAACTCCAAAAGCCAGGGTCTGTAATGGTATGGGTTGTTTCAGTGCCTTTGGCAAAGGTAACTTGCACTTCTGTGAAGGCACTATTAAGTACAGAGAGTTTTTGGAGCACAATATGCTGCCTTCTTTTCCATGGACGCCCATGCATATTTTAACAAGATAATAACAAAACACATTTTGCACAAATTACACAGTCCTGGATGTGGAGGATACGGATGCAGGTACTTGACTGGCCTGCCTGCAGTCCTGACCTGTCCTTAATAGAGAGTGTGTGGTCATTTTGAAGCATAAATTGTGACAACAAAACCCCAAACTGTTGCCCACTATAAGACTTGTTTGCAGAAAAAATGGGACAAAATTACATCCCAGTTGGTGTCTTCCGTCCCTTAACATCTTTTAGGTGTTGTGAAAAGGAATGGAAACATTACAAAGTGGTAAATTTTTACTGGTGGTATTAATTTTTACTTTACTGGTCCAACTTTTTTTTTAAATGTGTTGCAAAAACCAAATTCTTTAATTAAAAAAGCTAAATCATGAGGAACACATTAAATAAAGTGCTGATGTATTGTCTGTAATCAAATACACGTTAAGATAAATTTAGAAATCACTTCTTTCTTTTTTATTTGTGTCAACCTTTCCTGATTTGGGGTTGGAATGCAATGGGTGCTTCTGTATCTTTAGTGCTTGGCTCCTAATAATCTGAATAAACAGATTGCTGTTTATGATCAGCTAAATCAAATGAAAGTGACTGACAATGGGGTCATCAAGGTTAAAATGCCTGTGTGATAGTGACATTAAAAATAAGGTGGATAGGCAATCAAGGTGAAAATGTATAAAACTGTCTGAAAATGGCAAGTGTACTGTGAAAGTGTACTGTAAATGGCAACCATTCTTTTAACTGAACTCTTAACTTCTTTAAAGGTCCCCTGAAGTGCCTTGAAATGCAGATTTGTTTGATGCACAAAGTAATTTTAATCCGAAAGCTGGGTGGGATGTTAAAGTAGCCCCTCCCCCCATTTAAAAACTAGCCAATATGGTTTCGTTACTGTCCCAGCTCTACATTTTTGTTTCTATCACAGCTCAGACAAATACATTAAGCTAAAGTCAAAGACTATACAATAAACAAAATGTGTAACTTGTGTAGTTTTGTATCGGGAAAAAATGGTCAATGTGGCTGCTCTAGTGAAAGATGTCTAGTAAAGCAGTAATAACCCCATCAATACCAAAAGACCCAGTCTTTCTCGTCTGACCTCTTTGTTTTAAAATAATTCCCACCTCCGCCATTCAAATGCAAGTCACATAACCAACCCAGGCTCAATCTGGAAACGTAGCCCCACGGACGTTTCTGGAGACCACGAAATAAGTCCCGGGAGGTACGCATTTGTGCAGTTTTCGCGAATCCGTGAGAGGTCGCTATGAACACTTTTTCGCGTCTTGAACGCCCCCACACTGTTCGCACCCGTGGTGTTCTCGCGTAAAAAGCCAACGGATGCTGCTTTCAAGGGACCGTCTGTTCGACTGACTGATTGACTGACTGAATGACTGAACGATTGACTGGGTGGCCAGCCAATCGGCTGACCAAGCCACCCTCCTCCTCCTCCTTCCATAAACCCAAGCGACTATTTACAAAAGCCGTCCAGAAAAAGAAAAGCCCTCGTACGATTTTGACTGCATTTTCAGATTTCACCCCATTCTCGCCCCGTTTAAACTCCTTTCTTTTTGCATTCTGTTTTTTGTCTCACCTGATTTCAGGAACCGCTCTTCCCTGGACTCAACCCGGTCGTAGCCGCGGCCGGCTCCTTCTCCGGGTCTCCACTCCACCGACATAACACTACGAGCTAATCGGACGAACTGGTTGCGGCTGGAAAGCCCTCCACACGGAGGAGGTGAGCCGTCAGCCGGCGAGCGCGAAGAGGATTAGCGTCAAAGCGCCCCATAGCGTTCGCTTGAAAAAACTAAATGCAGCCATACGTACCTCCGGCCACGTAAATTACGGTCTCCAGAAACGTCCCCGGGGCTACGTTTTCAGAATGAGCTTGGGTTGCAACATAACAGCAACCACTCGAACACCCACAATTTTTTTTGGAAGAGATTTGCCTTCAGGATTAAGTTGCTAATTATTTCAGCAGACCAACGTGAATGAATGCAGTGTTAATCCAAGAATTATATTGTGCAACATGCAAGTTATTGGTAATTACGTTGGTTACACAGTTTGACTGCCATGTTATGCCTAGTTCAGACTGCGTGATTTTAGCCCCGATTTTGGCTCGCCGACAGATTTTGAGAAATCGCTGACAAATGCCTGAAGTCACAGGCAAATCGCTGCTCGTGCACGTGAGTGACAATCAAACAGTATGAACTATCAAAGATGCGATCTGAGAGAATCGCCGATGAGTCGCCCATGCCTGTGCGATATCTGGCGTGATAAATATCTGGAGCTGTCGGCGATTCAAATCATGCGTGTGAATTGAGTTTTGACTGAAAATAACATCAGCCATCGCCTACAGCCAATGAGAGAGCGGCATTCACTAGTGTGTGTGTGTGTTTATACCTGCTGCAGACCAGCGGGAGGCTGGGGGAGAAGTTAACAGCGCTCTTTTTTTGGTTTATTTGGACCCACGAAATGGAGGAAAAACTAGTGGAGGTTTGACAGGACTCAGGAGCAACCGTGTCTGGTTGCAGTTTCATACAGAAAGAAATTAGTTTATTAGCAACGTTGAGGAGAAATGGCTAGTTCCCTTTAAACCCAGGTGAGCAAACATGTACATGTTCTACCCCATTAAAGGCTTCTTTCTCATTATGTAGTTAATAACAAAACATATACTACGTGTTTTTGGCTGTGTGATGTAGTTTGGACGAAGTTGTCGGCGATTCTTCCTATGGTAAAGTCATGCAATGTGAAAGTCCCTGTCACCGATCCATCTTGCAGTGTAAACAAAGCAGCGACGAAATGCTAGCCCAGATAGTCATGCAGTGTGAAAACATCTGTGACACGACTACTTTTAAAATCATGCAGTCTGAACTCGGCATAAGACACTTATGCTGCCTTTAAAATTCGATCAGTAAAAAGAACTTAGGAGACAGGAAGTGAAGCAGAATTTGAAATCAGATGCCTATTTCCGAAGGCACCATTTAGCTTGCAGCCATAATTTTGAATGTCCTAGTTGCCTATACAATGAGAATGCAGTGCATTTCCTAATGCATTTTTGGCAGTACACTTGAATGCAGATATTAGAAAGCATCTAATTGGTCAGAAGATTTGATGAGATAATAAAGTATGAGGTGGCATCATAAAAATTGTTGATCTATATTGGGGAAAGCGAGAAACTGCAAGTTTTGAATTTTGCATTTGTTTTGGAGTGCACTAAATTCTGTCATCATTTACTCACCCTTCACTTATTTGAGTTTCTTGTAAAATAGTACTGGTTCCACTTACTGGTTCTTCAAACTATCTTATTTTGTGTCCAACAGAAAAAAAAGAAACTCAAAGGATTATAATCACCTGAGGATGAGTTATTAGTGAGTCAATTTTCACTTTTAGGTGAACTATCCCTTTAAGAATAACATATTAAGACCAAAAAACTTTCAGGGGACCTTTAAAAGAAAGTACTTATAGAGTAGCTGTATCTCTGTATCTGTAATTATGTCAGAGTGCATGTGACTGGATGTGATGTACAGGGCAGTGAATGGAGGAAGAGATCAGAGAGGGGGTAGGCATCCCACAGGCGAAATCAGAAGCAAAAACCAAGCAAGGCGGGTGTCCTACCACTGCCAGTGGGGGATAGAGAGGAAGAGAGGGGTGTGTTAGTGCACCTTTTTTTGGCCAGGTTTTGGGAAGGAGTATGATTTGAGTCTGGAGATAATCCCACCTGTGGCACCCCGCTAGAAACCACAATTTTAAAGAGCACATGGTTATTTTTCTTTATCCTACCCTCTTATTTAATCTAACTATGACCCATTAGTGTTGTGTTATACATTACAACAGCAAAGCAAAATGCGCAGAAAATAGAGTTCTTTAACAATCAGCTCTGCTAATGCACTAATTCAATGTACTGTATATTGGGTGTATATACGTGTGACCTTATATTCAACAACCCTAATGTTAAATTGGTCAGTGGTTCTCAGCGGGCTTTGATTCAAGACCCAGATTTAACTTTGAATGGCAAGTCCAACGCAGTCTCAGATTTCTTTAAATGTTGAATAATTAAATATAAATATAAGATATAGTATTAAATATAACGTTTATTCATTCACTCATTTTATTTTCGGCTTAGTCCGTTTAACCGCCAACTTATCCAGCATATGTTTTACGCAGCGAATGCCCCTCCAGCTGTAACCCATCACTGGGAAACATCCATACACTCCCATTCACACACATACACTACAATCAATTTTTTTTAGCCTGCCCAATTCCCCTATACCACATGTCTTTGGACTGTAGAGGAAACCGGAGCACCCGGAGGAAACCCACTTGAATGTTTGAACATGCAAACTTCACACAGAACTGCCAACTGACCCAGCCAAGGCTCAAACCAGCGACCTTCTTGCTGTGAGGAGATCATGCTACCCACTGTGTCACCATATATTATTTATTTATTTTATTTTATTGTTTTATTATTATTTTTTAGGGGTTTTCACCTTTATTGATAGGACAGTGGAGATATAGAGACAGGAAAGCGTGGGGAGCAGAGACAGGGGAAAGATCAGCAAAGGACCTCGAGACGGGACTTGAACTCGGGTCGCTGCGAGCACCTCAGTGCTATGTGTCGACGCACTAACCACTAGGCCACGACAACACCATATATTATTTAATAATAATTAAATTTACTATCCAAATAAAAACTTTTCAGAGCCAATGCACTGTTTCTATGAAGATTTAAAATAGGTTTTGTGGAAAACTCAATAGTTCTCAATGAATCCAGATTTTCTCAGATTTGGGCTTTATTTATTTATTTAGCTCAGTGTAAAATGTGATTTCACAAGGAAACAACTGTTTTTCGTGTCGTCAGAAGAGTGGCTAATTCATACAAATTCATGGGGTGTATGTTTAGAAAACGTACACATTTTAAAAGGTGGCATGCCCGCAAAAACCCAACCCCTAAACCTACCCCTTATTGTGAAATCAACTAATCATACTAAAACGGACAAATCCGATTGTACTAATGAATACAAATTGACCACAAAATCAAAAGGTTAAGTAAAACTATGAGATTGCATTGGATTTTTTTTGTTGCATTTAGCAATGTTTGTCCCTGTTGTCTGTTACAGTTTTGGGTCACAACTCACCAGCTGAGAACCGCTTTTTAATTTTTCCCGCTAGCTTACATTGAGATTAATCGGTAGATGAAAAAAAGTCATTTCTTGTAGTTAAACATGTCAGTTCACTTTAAAAGCATGATCACATATTCAGGCTAATGCACACTGCACTGACAGACACTGACCAACATGATCAGAGAACTCAGTCTGGTTTTGTTGGATATTGTAAGTCATCCCAGCAGGCACAGGACGTCAACATGACGTTAGATTGACGCTGTTCCCACATGTTGTGGGGACGTTGCATTTTGTTTGGAAATGAAAATCAAGTTGACGTCGGAACCCAACATCATGTCAATGTCCAACGTCCAACCTAAAATGAATCAACGTCTAATGATGCTACAGCTTGACGTTGTGTGGATGTAACCACTTTGACGTCTATCAGACGTTGGAGTTTGGTAGCCTTGCCCAACGAAAAAAATGTCAGTGTTTGACATCAATATGACGTTGGTTTAAGATTAACATTTGATTTTGGTGACTTTTTAACAAAACCTAAAATCAGTGAAATATCAATGTCATTTGACGTCATTATTGGACATCAAAATAATGTCCTTAGATGCTGACTAGACATTGAATTTTGGTCACCTGACATCACAATCGAAATCTAACCTAATATTAACATCTAATGACGTTGTGCGCCTGCTGGACTGAAGTGTCTGAGAAGTGAAATACTATTATGTGGAGATTGTCCACATTGATTAGCATCTGTTGGAGCAGTGCAAATGTGGCTGTCCATCCAAAAATGAAACTTTGCTGTTAACTATCTTTTTATAACACAGCATTTAAAGCGCATTTTGACTGTAGTGTGCGTTTCTGATGATAGTTGTGGATGTACGTACCTCAGAATGATGTGATGGTCTCGGGCAGGTCTCGGTGAGCACGCGGAGCAGGCCGTCAGGCTTGTAAGAATAGTGTTCTACCAGCTATAATATACAACACATTTCACATCAAATCAGTCTCTGGCCTCCATCACAGGCCATCGCTTCAGTGTTGTGGTTACGCTTTGTAAGCTAAGGCCATTTTGTAGAAAACTTTTGTTTTTCAGCGAACGGTATAAAAACCATCAGTGTGCGTGTATGTTTCTCTGCTATTGGCTGATCTTCAAACAATACACAGAATAAAACTTTTCCGTTATACTAACACAAAGCATGAAATCTATAAATACACTGAAAAAACATACTCCAGATTGACACACTTTTGTTGTGACGCATCATCACCTACTGTATATCTTTAAAAAATTCAACTATTTCCATGTTAACATGCTTTAAATACACACCCACCTTGTTGAAATCTCATTTAAGTTCTTCTAATCACAATGTGGCTGGAGTTTGTCAAGGCTACTGTAGTTAGTGGCCTTGCTATAGCCTTAACCTTGCTAAAGCTTTGATGCTTTGTGCTACGCTCAATCACACAAGCAGGAAATCTAAATATAACACGTCATTTGTCCCTTTGGTCACCACATACAAAGTCAATGTCTACCTCTGCAAGCCTGAAGAACTGAATTCTCCTTTTTTTGCCATAGGTATCAGAGATTCTTATTTTCTGTATAAGGGTCAAAGACAAAAAAGTGTTTTAAATTAAAAGGCTCTTTTAAAGAATTACAATAATAGCCCAAAATACTTGTTAATTGTCATTTTAAATTGTTATTATTTGCTGAAAATGTTTTGATTTATACCTGTGAAATATCACATTTTTTGTATAGCAAACATTGGTACTTTGAGGAATAACATTGAATTGCACTTGCTGAGTCATTAGATATTGAATTGCGTTGTACATTGAAAATCTACACTATTACAGACCTCGGGTCACCAGCGACCCTATTCTTCTTTCACACAAAATCATTATAAAACCTACATCTTTCAATAGCTGATTTTCCTTGTTGTATTGTTAATAAGGGATATATTGATGCATATTAAAAAGGTAGATTCATTTAAGAACAAAAAGGGGGATGGTGGGTAGCGAATGGTTTTGTGGGTCATTTAAAATCTAATGCAGGGGTGTCCAAACTCAGTCCTGGAGGGACTTTGTCCTGCATAGTTTAGCTCCAACTTTCCTCAATACACCTCACTGGAAGTTTCTAGTATACTTGAAAAAGCTTAAATAGCTTGTTCAGGTGTGTTAAATCGGGGTTGGAACTAAAATATGCAGGACACCGGCCCTCCAGGACCAAGTTTGGACACCCCTGATCTAATGTATGCACTTAATGCAGAGGTGTCCACACTCAATCCAGGAGGTCTGGTGTCCTGGAGAGTTTATCTCCAACCCTAATCAAACACACCAAAACAAGCTAATGAAGCTCTTACTAGGTATTCTAGAAACTTCCAAGCAGGTGTGTTGAAGCAAGTTGGAGCTAAGATCAGAAGGACACCAGCCCTCCTGGACCGGCGTTGGACACTCCTGACTTAAAGCATACCTGTCAACATTTGGATGTGAATATAAGGGATTCCCCAGCCCACACACAAATTACTAAATCGTTTTATCTGGAGCTGTTTCATTGTAAATAAACAGTTGAAACTGTCAGTAATATGTTTTTATTATTATTATTAATTATTATTGATAAAGGATAGAATAGCATACATATACATTAGAAAAAGCTGCAAATAAATTAAAGTTTAGCCTTTTAAACATGCTAGCTATTACAAATAAATTGAATCAAGTTTTCAAGCCTCAATCATTTCTTCCCTTTAATTTAAACATTCTGATTAAAGAGCAGCGATTGAATCTCATATAGCACATGAACTTACTGTTTTAAGTATTGCATAGGAGGGGCGAAGATGCCTTTAATGGAAACTAAGGAAATCCCGCCTTTTTATATTTATTTTAAAGTGTTTTCATGCCTAAATAAAATTAAAGCATAGAACAGATGCACATTTAGGAGCAAGGGGCGTCCCCTGGTGGATCGCCGGTATGGGTTGCATACTGATGTCTATTGCCACCCTTCATAGAAATATTAAAAATATGGGAGAAATATGGGGAAATACCTTTACGGGTTTATAGCAGCATTGAATTTTAAAATACGGGAAAATCCCGGAAAAAACGCGAGGGTTGACAGGGATGACTTAAAGCCACACCATGTATGATTTTTGTATTTACATTTCCAAAAACACTAGTACAGTGTTATATATTTTGCTGACTTATGTACTTACGTTATTCAAGATGTTTCATAGAATCCAGTGAAATAGGCAATATTAAATGCTGGCCAGGCTAATTACATCAAACACTCTCAATTTCCAGATTTATAGAAAACAAAAAAGAGATTTTAATATGTTGTGTGTTTTATTAAACTGCACTATAGCAGCTTTATAATACAACTTTAAAATCTTTTTACTTCTTTGGCATTCAGCATTCAAACTACCATGATAAGAATTTTGACTTCCCAGTTTAACTACACCCTTTGTTTGTCTTAAATAAGCGCCCTCTAGTGACAAAAATGTACATACCGTGCCTTTAATCAAAAATCTAAAGAAAATGAGAGGATCATTCACTTGTTTTCAATGAATAATTATCATTATACCTGAATGTTTGCTTCATACCGTGACTAATGTAGGTGCTTCCCTTGTTTAGTTTCTGTAAATTATTTTACATAATATTTTTAGCAGGCTAATTGTTCATTTTAATCTGTATTTTCCCCAATAAATAATGTTTTTCTTTTTTTTTAGATTTTACTGTTTCGACTGTTTGTTGACAACAAAACTCCTCTAAAAGAACACACAAAAAGTAATGTCAGGGTTTTTATTAACACACTCAAAAGGGTAAAGATTTACTTTGGCTCCCTAAAAGTTGAGGAAAAACACTTTTAAATGGGACATCTTGACTTCGACACACAAACTGCTTACATTTAAACAGTCATAAAATCCCTTAACACGTTTTTGAGACAGATTACACATTATTGAAAACAGCATTAGGAAGTTAAAATGGGTTGTTTTGTGGTTTTCCCAGCAATTTCAAAAGCATCTAAGGTCACAAAATGTGAGGTAACTCTGTCAATTCTGAGTTGTGATGGCTGCTGGGACTCAGCATTTGACCATTTTCTCTGCATTTATTACTGTGGAAGAGAGCTGTTTCAATCTAATCACCATGTCTAATCATCCTCATCTGCTCTAAAATCTTTTGTCATGTCTCTTTTTATTACCTGCCATAGTGTGTCGAACTTCTTGCCATCAGGAATGGAAAGCTTTCCAGCCCTGTCCTTATCAATGCGATAGTGCATGACTTGATTGTTATGCAGGAGACACAGCGCATAGGACTCGTTTCTGCCACTGTTTTCTCTTTGTCTGATTCTGTAAGAGGGAGAGAAAATTACAAATTTCAAGAGAATGGAAAAAATCCACAATACACTACAGCACTGTTAAATGCTTGATTCTGATTGGCTGATATGAACAATCTAAGGTGTGTATTTATATTTGGGGAACCATACAAACTACTAAAAAGCAGTGCTTGACCATATTTACGGTACAGAAGTACTTACCGAAATTACAGAACTATAGAGATACAAAACTACTTTACAGTCTTCAACAAACAAACTTTAATCAAAATATAGTAAACGTCTTAGGATGAAATGTGTAAGAAACTAGTACTACACATTGGAGCTGGACAAAAACGTGACAAATATCTTGAAATATACAGCATCTGAATTTGAGTAATATAAGCTGAATAATTGACTCCAGTCTATTGAATTGATTTATTTTGAGCAGCTCATCTTCGATTATACTTCCTTCTCTGTATTATTCTATACTACAGGGATGTTAAATGCTTGATTCTAATTGGCTGATGAACATTCTAAGCTGTGCCATAATCTTCATATAAACGCACATCTAAAGTAGTTCCAGGCAGGTTTTGACTACATTAGTTCAATATCACTACGCTGAATCATTTCAATTAAAACAGAACATTTTAGAAAATATGTGTAAGAATGTACAATACTACACACAAGAGCTGTTTGTGGATGAACCCAGCCTGATCTCACGAGAAAACGTAAGTATTTCATGTTTTGGCAGTTTAGTGGCTAATTCGTACGAGTTCAGTCGTACGAAATTGTACGATTTTAAAAAGGAGGCGTGGCACCTAACCCCACCTCTAAACCCAGCCGTCATTGGGGAATGAGCAAATCGTACTAAATTTGTACGAATTTGATCGTACAAATTCATACAAAGTAGCCACTAAATCAAACAATTACGAATTGCCGTGAGATTGTGTTGTGAAAACCTCCTGATCAATGTCAATGTAGGTGTGGTAACCATAGTTTAGTGCGGTAGAGTCTTTACTGTGGTAACTGGAATAACTGACCGCGATTTGTTGAACTACTGGAAAATAACGCACATCCGAGGTTTCCACCTAGCATTGTAGACACATCACAATGTCAGGTGTTCATTAAAGGGGACCTTTCATTCATATCTTTTCTTTTCGACTTAGACCCTTCATTAATCAGGAGTTGCCACAGGGGAATGACCTGCCAACTTATCCAGCATGTTCTATGCAGCGGATGCCCTTCCAGCTGCAACACATCCCTTGGAAACATCCATATACACTAATTCACACTCATACACTACTGACGATTTAGACTACCCAATTCACCTGTACCGCATATCTTTGGACTGAGGGGGAAACCGGAGCACCCGGAGGAAACTCACGCAAAACCGGGGATGCAAACTTCACAAAGAAATGCCAACTGACCCAGCCGAGGCTTGAACCAGTGACCTTCTTGCTGTGAGGCAACAGCACTACCTACTGCATCACTGGGAGGCCCCCTCCTCCGGTCCTCACTTCCTCACTTTCATCCACGACACCCAAACACTTTCACTTCGCGGCACTTCCGTTTTCACTTTCGGGTTGAGGATGGCGTGATTGTCCTTTGCCTAGAGCGCTAATTCAGCTTGCTCCGTCCCTGCAAACATGCTCTCCTACAAAAACGTTTTCAACCTATAAAACTCATTCTTGAGGTGCAGATGACCACAGAGAGTTGGAACAGATCTTTTAATCCCAGTTTCTTTGTAAATCCTGTTCTATGGACATGTTTAAACGCCTTACAAAGGGAAAACCACACTGCTACATCAAGTTGTGGTGGACATCAAAATGACTGCTATTTGGATCCTATTTAAACGTCAGGTAATTTTAAGAAAGAGACTTATTGTGTTTATTTTACTCCAATATGACTGTGGACACACTATACACACAGCTCTGTCCAAACAGCTTCTAAAAGGTGATGTTGAATCATGGGTAAGAATGCAACGATTATAGATTTTGGTTGTACGACTATAGTCTGAGAAATAATCATGGTTTCACGGTTATCACGATTATTATGCATTTATTATTTTCAAACCCCACTAGTTTAGATAATAAGAAGAAAACTCTTTATATTTTACAGTGTTATTTACTGCTGGTCAGTAACTAATTAATACAGCACAAAATAATATAAAAAACAAACAATAATAAATTTCTCTCTTTGTGCTTAAAAATAAGTTAATTTTTTGACATTTAAACTGAAATAATTTTACACCATAAATACATGAACGCTCTTATCGGCGCCATTATTTGTAACTTTAAGTGGGTTTGCAAACCCGTGTACTCTTCATGTACTGCTTCTTCCTCAGACTTTAGCCGTTTGTAGTTCCCACAGTCTGTCATTCCAACGAGGTACGCCTGAGAAGCATGTGCGTCCCTACATTCAAAACAATGAACTTACACAAGTTTTTTCTTAGTTAATAGCCTCAATTATAGTTATTCTAGTGTGCGTGGTTATTAGTCTCAAACTAGCACACAAAAAATAGCACACAGTTTGCATCATTGTTTAGTTGCAGTAGTTTTGTTCCGTGCAGAAACAGTGTTGAGAAGCCTTTACGATTAATTAACTGTGACTAATTAAAGTGTGGTTAACAGTGAAACCGGTTAATCATTGCATCCATAATCATAGGTGGTCTTAAATACAACGTTTAGCTTTATAAATGTACATACATTTTTTTTTTATGGAAAAAGTTTCAAGGATTTAAGAAGCATTTCACCCTCTGGTTTTTCTGTATTCCTTACATAATTAACCAAGTCTGACTTTTTTCCTGATTATATTACACACAAATCAACACTAGATGGAGCTGTGGATGTTTTTAAAAACAAAGATTCAACGTTCAGATTCAGTATAAGGTTGGGGTATTTGGTAAACCACTAATAAATGCTTCACAAAAGTGCAAAATATACTAAATAAAGAGCCAATTGCTATTTTCAGAATGATATTTTCCTTTTTAAAAGGCTTCAGTAAATACTAGAGCACTGAAAGATGCAGACGCAACACTTTGATGACAAAAGAGTCTTTGTCTTGTAAACCAACATTCATCTTTTTCCATTATTCTGAGGACTACATACCCATCCTTTACATGCAAGTGTTCTATTTAAAGCAAACACACAGTCTACACACACTCACACTACCCCCACCTAGCCTGTTTTTGTTTTCCGCCTTCGGTCAGTTCAGGAAGTCCCTCTCAAACAGTGTCAGAGCGGAAACCACACAGCGCCTCTCTCTGCCTCATTGCTTTCACTTTAACTGCAGTCCAAAACCTCTGCCTTGAGCTTCATCCAGCCTCCTTTTCAAAATTCAGTGACAAATTTGATCTATACCATATACTTTTATTACTGAATAGTTTTGCTGTTCTTGTTTTGATATTTAATCGCACTAGTTTTGGATTCATATTTTAATATTCATGACGGCATATACAATTTTAATCAAGGTGTTACTGTATTTAACAATCGCTTTGCTACAAGTTTCAGGACCCTAGTGTCAACGTTCAAAACTCTAAACACAAAATTCACAACTGTAGACCTGATAGCACATTTTTACAAAACACTTTTTAGTAACACTTTATTTTGATGGTCCATTTAAGTATTAGTAGACTGTCTGCTTAATATATGCTGATACTGCTCCTTCAACAGACATTTAACTGACTATAAGAAACTTGGCAAGTACATGTCAACCAACCCTAACCCAAACAGTCTACTTAATAATCTAACGAGAAATAGTTGGCATGTAGATGCAATGTAACTTAAATTCAACAAACAGACCATCAAAATAAAGTGTGACCCAACTGTTTTCTTTTTAAAATGCTTGGATACAATAAGTCAAAGATATTTTGGTCATTGTATTAAATTCACCTGTTCAATAACAAAATTTGACATCCAGTTAATTCCATTTCAAAATGTGAGTCAGACTTTAAATCTGAAATAACCGTGCATTCACTTTAAATTTACAATTAAAATTATGGGTAACAAACATGAGAAAGGCTACCAAAAGGTGGAGCTACAAGCGCAGCTGAATGCTGACTGGTTACAGAGATACGTCACGATCTCGTGGAGCTAGCCAGAATTAAAACAAAGGAACTGCCATGTTCTAATACACAGCCAAGAGATTACATGGAAATACTATATGCATATAATGATGAGCCATGAATGACCCATGCTCAAACAAACTTTGTTGTTGTCTTGATGAACAGCCACAAAGCCAAGAAGAACAAAATCTGCCGTGTCCTGTTGTTGTTTTACGAGCCCGTCTAAAAGTCTCCAGGGATCTCATGATTGCTTCTATATTTGATATAGTGAACTTCTTAAGCTGATGACAATAATGTGTGTGTGATTATTAAAGTGTCCCTGTCATCTAATCTATTCAGAAAGAAAAGGACAAACGCGAGAGTGAAGCGCGAACAAAGGAGAAGCCTGACAACACACAGAAGCAAATTATTTCAGCAACCTGAATCACGAACAAACTGCCATGTCTTTCCTCGTCCTTTGGGACTATTATGAACTTGGAATGACGGAGTTACTCTCTAACAGAGCTTACATGTGCTGGTGAAGATTACAGACACAGATGAGAGGTCTGCTCTGACTGCGGGCTATGTAGCGTGTTGTTACTCAAATAAGGACTAAATGTCTGCTGTGTGTAGTTCTTCTTTAGTTGGTAACATATCAGAGACTGTAAGGGTCTGTTTGTGTTCATATATGTTGCATTTATTTATTTATTTTATATAATTGCAGATGTTACAGTAGTCATTAATCTGCAGTTATAATCAAATCATGTACATAGAAAAGTTAGTAATAAACATTTAGAAGCATGTGTAAAGCATCTGTTTTATTAAAAGTGCTTCTCTTATAATATGTGAACGATCTGTACAGCTTTACTGTAGACATTTATTTGAGCGAGAATGATGTTGACTTAATTTTTTTTCATACACCACGCCCACCAAAAGAGTACCCTTGGTAGTGGAAACGCAAGTCTGATAAGGGTGACCAGTACCTACCCGAACCGTACCGTACTGTACCACTCAGTGGAAACGAGCCATTTTGTAATTGTGTGGGGTTTTTTTTAGCTGAATCTTCAGACACACTTGTAAAAATTTTAAAGAAAACACAAATTACTTTTCAAATGTTTTAAATGGCTCTCATATCCACTGTTAGTGAGTCTAAAAACATTTACATTAGGATCAGATGTTTCTTGATGTTCCACATGTTATTCAACAAGTGAAGAAGACTTACAGAAATTTGCCGTTGACCCGTGAGGTATTGAGCAAACGCAGCTCTGAATCCTCGCGATCTATCTTTCCGTGAAACCAGGGCATCTTCTCATGTGCTGTTGTGGCGATGAGTTTCTCCAGCTGAGGCCTCTGGCTGATGATGGCCTGGTCCAGCGCTGAACCCTGACGCACAACCAAACAACAACATTTTTAAACACCAAAACACAACCCTAATGTGCAAAGGCTGTTGTGAAAATTCATACGAGAAATGTTCACACCTTATTTTATTCTCAAAACCTAACATACTTCCGAGTAAAACAGTATATTTAGCACTAAACAAAACAATAATTCATTATTAATTGTGAATTTGATGAAGATCGAATGGGAAAAATGAGTTATGTAAATTAGAAAGGTGATTGAGTTGGAAGATAAGAAACATTTTTGTAATAAAAAAAGGAAGGCTTTTTTCACCACACACACACACACACACACACTTGTATAGCTATTTTTAAGGACTTTCCATAGACCTAATTCTTTTTTATTTTTTTATATTTATATACTGTATGCAGATATTTGTACTGTATTCTATCCACCTACCCCTTGTCATGATCACCAGTGATCTAGCCTGTGCAGATCGCTGGAGAACTACACATGTGCCAATTTAATGAACTACAACTCCTATCATGCACCTCACACACACACCAGTTCCTGATTCCCCCTGATTACACACACAGCTGGAAGCTCATGAGGATTCATGGTTAGAAAAGTATGTTATATACTGTATGAATGTGAATAGTATGAATGTAACTACTACACGTTACGAAACGTACTACATTACATACGCCGTTTTGGTCATGATCGCATGACCTTCCCACGCCAGTTGTCGCTTCACTTCCATTCATGAGTTCTCTAGTGGTGCATTGTTTCAAATTCTATTAATCCGGCCATACTGCTCGGCTTGCACACTGATTTTAGTGTACTAAATAAAATAGATGAATGAGATTACAGATGCAGCCTATGACTTCCCAAGAAATGCTGACAAAAGTCAAATATTTTCAATTGTCATGAGAAGTTGAGATATTTACAAATAAAGAGTTTAGATGCAAAAACCTATACAAGAACGATGCGGAGTGGTGCGACGCCGTTCTTTTACCGCTGTAACAAGTTTGTCCTGTTAGCTCATCACGTACGTCGGCAGACTTAAGATGCAGAGAGGAGTTGACCATGACGACAGGGTTTGAGTCCAGTGAAAAACGGTTCCAATAAATGGGCAAATAACGGTGAGAATGTGGTAATATCTGAAAACATGGTAAAAATCAGGGAGGGCTTTTTTCTGGATTGCCTTTGAAATTTGTTGGTAGGATTTAGGGAAGTGGGTGGGTAGGCGGGTCAGTCAAGTCAGTCAACAGCAGCCTCTGTTGGATTTATGTGAAAACAGCAGGCGCAAATGGCATTAACGAAAAATTTAAGATCTCAAACGTGTGTAGAGGTGCGTTTTCAGAATGAGCCTAGGTTGCTTTAAAAAGTGACTTGTAATTTGTAATTTTCCTGAGATTTTCAATCAGGTTCAGATCAGGCCCCTGGGCTCCCATTTCATTATTTCTCTGTGTTAGATGACATAAATCCATTCATCTTAGTTTAAGTCCTTGGGTCTCCTAAGAAAGATTTCTAAAAATACAATTAATAAGATAATAATATTACAAAGATTCTTATTTTGTTTAGAAAAGATACAAGCAGTAGCCAGAAATTAAGTTATGCTAATATAATTACAAAAAAGAAAAAAAAAAGAAAATAGTTAAGAATTACTGCGAGTTTGTCTAAAATATAGAGGTATTATGACGTATGAAAAAGTGGGTCACACTTTATTCAATTATTCGTTAATGTGTTTACTAACATGAACTAATAATGAACAGTACTTATAAAGCATTTGTTAATCATTTAATAACATTTGTGAACATTAGTAAATGCTCTGAATTAACATCAACTAACAATAAACAACATTATTTTCATTATAACATAAATAAATACTGAAATAAATGTGTTCATTGTTTGTTCAAGTTAGTAAATGCATTAACAAATACAGCCTTATTGTTAGTGTCACCAAAGAATGAAGTCAAATAAACTCTTAAACTCTGTCACCAACCTTTAAATTCCAGGTTTGCTCGACATACTGCCGGATGAGCTGCTCCTTCAGGTCTTCAAAGGGCCCGACTTTAGGCTCTGTGCCGCGGGGCCGGTGAAAGGGCTTCTTCAGCAGGCAGATGAGGCCGTCAGACTCCTGAGAGTGGTAGTTGATCACATCTATAGGCGTCCGGTGAGATTTGCCTCCAGCGATGGCGTAGGTGTCGTTCAGCTCCCTCTCTATGGTATAGTGGTAGAACTGGCGGCCGTAGGACAGTGACAGGGCATAGCCGCCGAGGAAACTGCGGCTCTGGCGGAGCAGGTACAGGCCGTCTCCTGATCCTCCCTGTTGCAAATAAACCTCGGACTCCTCGCGGGTGATGTTGCCGAAGAAGTACGGCAGCAAATGCACCTTATCCACCATATCTGCTCAACCTTCTGGGAAACCTAGAGGAGCGCTAACAACCTGGAAAGGAAAAAGGTGGAGATCAGTTTTGTTGTTGTTGACATTTTAGGTATTAAAATTCGACTATCTATCTATCTATCTATCTATCTATCTATCTATCTATCTATCTATCTATCTATCTATCTATCTATCTATCTATCTATCTATCTATCTATCTATCTATCTATCTATCTATCTATCTATCTATCTATCTATCTATCTATCTATCTATCTATCTATCTATCTATCCATCCATCCATCCATCCATCCATCCATCCATCCATCCATCCATCCATCCATCCATCCATCCATCCATCCATCCATCCATCCATCTATCTATCTATCTATCTATCTATCTATCTACAGTATCTATCTATCTATCTATCTATCTATCTATCTATCTATCTATCTATCTATCTATCTATCTATCTATCTATCTATCTATCTATCTATCTATCTATCTATCTATCTATCATCTATCTATCTATCTATCTATCTATCTATCTATCTATCTATCTATCTATCTATCTATCTATCTATCCATCCATCCATCCCATAGGATATAAACGTTTTCCTCCACTAACATCACATAGTGACCTGGCCGCTATCATGCAAGAAGAATGGCTCAGAATCTCTCTGGCTACTGTGCAGAACTCGTATCTGTCATTCCTAAGACCAATTGATGCTGTATTGACACTAAAGGGTGACCTAGACCTTACTATTGAATTATTGTGATCTAAAAACAGACATTCCACTTTCATTGTCCATTATAGGTTCGAACCAGCGACCCAGCGACCTTCTTGCTGCGCCACCTACTGCGCCACTGCCTCTATATATATGGGCGAGGCAGTGGCGCAGTAGGTAGTGCTGTCGCCTCACAGCAAGGTCGCTGGGTCGCTGGTTCAGTTCAACCTCGGCTCAGTTGGCGTTTCTGTGTGGAGTTTGCATGTTCTCCCTGTCTTCGCGTGGGTTTCCACCGGGTGCTCCGGTTTCCCCCACAGTCCAAAGACATGCGGTACAGGTGAATTGGGTAAGCTAAAATTGTCCGTAGTGTATTAGTGTGTGTGAATGTGTGTGTGTGAATGTTTCCCAGAGAAGGGTTGAGGCTAGAAGGGCATAAGTTGGCGGTTCATTCCGCTGTGGCGACCCCAGATTAATAGACAGACTAAGCCGAAAAGAAAATGAATTAATGAATGAAAATAGAATATCTGCAGATTCTAATGCCAGGGTGTGTAAAATGAATTAAATCATCATGGTAACATTTTATTTTATCTCTTGGAAACAGGCAGGTATTAGCCTCTCAAGAGTAGCACTAAATAAAAAGTGTGATCTTATAACAGTATATGAAATTTTTACCCATTTAACCCCTGCTCTTTATTCAGTGTGTTTCTTTCTTGAGCACGGAGAATATTTAGTTTATCTAGAGCAAGAATATGTCAAACTCAATGACTGGAGGGCCACAGCCCTGCACAGTTTAGTTCCCACCCTGCTTTAACACACTTACTGGTAGTTTTAAACAAGCCTGAAGGACTCAATTAGTCTGATCAGTTGTGTTTAATTAGGGTTGGAACTAAACTGTGCAGAGCAGCGGCTCTTTGGGAACTCAGTTTGACATCACTGGTCTAGAGTCTATGTGACCATCTTTATCTTATTCAGGACTGTAAATAAAAACAACATGCAGTGTTATGCTTGATCAAAAGTATTAAGTAATTTGCATATTCTGCGTGGTGGACTGTATGTAAATTTAGGAACAGAAAAGGGATGTACCTTTAGATGCTTTTGCAGATTGGACATAATTAGCCTTCACTAAAATTATTCATCAGTATTACAGTCAGACATAGGCTAAAAATTGTCAGTAGTGTATGAGTGTGAATGAGTGTTTATGGATGTTTCCCAGAGATGGGTTGCAGCTGGAAGGGCATCTGCTGTGGAAAACATGTCCTGGATAAGTTGGCGGTTCATTCCACTGTGGCCACTGGGGATTAATAAGGGACTAAGCCGAAAAGAAAATGAATGAATGTTTAACTTTCAGGCTGGTATCCTATTCCTCCTCCCTGATGGCATCAGCTCCTATTCCTTATAGAGAATTTGGCTTGGATTACTAATAATTTCAATGCTCTGCTTCTTTACAGACTCAAAAATATCATGAAGGGAGGGTAAGACACCACCCCGGCTCTATAAAACACATTCAGAAGTTGTGTCCTACACTGTAAAAAATACACAGCATGATTTTGCCAACGATGCGATCCTGGATTACAGATTTTCTTGATTGCTTTCATGCAGCCTTCAACTAAAACTCCACATTTTCAGGCCAAAACAGCAGCACTCATGGTCATAATGACACATTTTGCTTGCAAAATACACATACCGGGTTAAAAAATTTAAAATATGCAACAAAAGCTAATTTTACCTTCAAACAACACAACTTGCAAACAGGTATATGAGCTCTTTCAATCAATCATTACACCATGGACAACAAAATACAGAACTCAGTGTCAATCCGTGCACCATTGCTTGCCATTGTAGCCTATTGGCAATGCCATTTGTTGTCTTTTTATCTGGACTGTCAAATTTGCCTTTTTGCAAAGAATTGGATCTAGAATAAGAAATGCTTTGATTAAATTTATACTGAATTCATGACATTTTTCAAACTGTGGCTGAAAGCTGAAATACTGTTAAAAAAAACTGACAAAAGAAAAAAAAACTGTAAATATTAGAGAAAACACATGTAAACCAATATACAGTCAAATTTATTGATCTATTGGGAGTATAGGACATAGCCAATATTAAAACTCCGTGCTGGCACAGAACAACACGGACCGTCCACGAGTTTAAGGAGTGTTAAAATAGTGCTACAGTGATTTCATATCGATCTTGGTAGTTTCTAATAGTTAGGAATAGATGGTTTCTGTTTGGTTACCATTGCCAAAACAATAGAGTTTGGACTGCTTGATTAACGTCTGTGTTAACTGTTTTGAAAAACGTTAGGGAAAATGTGTCACTCTAATGAGAAAGAGTTTATTCATTTGCAAGACATGTCTTCTGCTCTGCTGGGATAGTGATGAGAAAAATGGAGGGGATCCTAGTTTCCTTAACCAGGTCAAATCCAACAAGAAAAACTGAAACATCTACAGTTGAAGTCAGAATTATTAGCCCCCCTGAATTATCAGGCCGCTTGTCTATTTTTCCCCCAGTTTCTGTTTAACGGAGAGAAGACTTTTTCAACACATTTCTAAACATATAGTTTTAATAACTCATTTCTAATGAGACAGTATATAATATTTGACTAGATATTTATCAAGACACATCTACAGCTTAACGTGATATTTAAAGCCTTAACTAGGTTAATTAGGTTAACTAGGCAGGTTAGGTTAATTAGACAAGTTATTGTATAACGATGGTTTGTTCTGTAGATTATTGAGAAAAAATATATAGCTTATAGGGGCTAATAATTTAGAACTTAAAATGGTCTTTAAAAAAATAAAAACTGCTTTTATTCTAGCTGAAATAAAACAAATAAGACTTTCTCTAGAAGAAAAAATATTATCAGACTTACTGTGAAAATCTCCTTGCTCTGTTAAGCATCATTTGGAAAATATTTTTAAAAAAGAAAAAAATTGAAGGGGGGGATAATAATTCTGACTTCAACTGTATATTTATCCTGGAACATAATTTTTATTAGAAAACGTAATCCATACCTATTCCCTACCCCTAAACTAAACCATAACTGAAAATTATTATCAAAATCAGTGGGGAATATTCAAGATAACAATCAAGTAGAAGTGCAAAAACCTAACCTTCTGTTTCATAACTCAAATTCACGATAGTCTCTTACTCTGGCAACTTATGCTGGAAAACTAGCCTGGTCTGGGGCAGGTTAACTCTCAGGCTACGTCTTAAGTTCAAGCTTAATCAAAGTAATGTTAATATTCACCTGCTGTAACTTGATGCCATTTTATTTCACCAAACCTCTTAATAATGAGTAAAACTTAAAACTACCTACTGCGCCATTGCGTTGCCCACTTGGTAAATATTTGGAAAATAATAGAAATTTCACAGGAGAGCTAATAATTTTATCTGTGTATAAACAATGAAGATTGTGCCTAACAACATTTAGCCATAAATACATGAAATACCTTAAACATAATGCATTTTCAAAGAAAATAAATATTGTACCAGTGCCAAAACACGTAGTGTGGGAATTATAGTTTCTGCATGTGGTGAACACATCTGCCTTTTTCTTGTTGGTTTCTGTGAATTTAAAGTCTCTCACGTCACTTTCTTATAAATTAATTTCATGTTTTTATCTTTACCACATCTATTAACATCTTTAGCATTTCATTTTCTCCCTTTCGTTTCATTTTCTTTTATCATAACTGTTTCAAGCTGTGTGTTCAGTCAGAATTATTAGCCCCCTTCAAATTTCTTTCTTTTTTTTCAAATATTTTCCAAATGATGTTCAACAAATTCAGGAAATGTTCACAGTAAATAGAAGCTTTCAGACGTCAGAATAAACATTAAACATGAACTAAAAACAATTAATGGACAAAACAACTATTAGTTAAAGCTAATTTAGACATTTACTATTGCATTATTCAAATCAAAAGTTGTGTCTTTTAATTAATTAATAATCCGAGATATTGCAAATATTTCATGCAAGTGATCAAAAAATTATATATTATATAATAAACAATACATAAGAGCACCTTTGTCTTCACTAGGAGACCAAAATTCAATAACATATAGGCATTCACAGTAATATGTAGCCACATTTTGCACCAAAATTTTTTTTAAAGAGGTCAAAGATATTTAAAATTATTGCTATTGTAATTATTATTATTATTATTATTAAGCATTTTTAAGTGAATTAAGCTAATCAAATTACAGAAACAGAAAGTATTCACACATATGCATATGCGACACTTAACTTGTGAAAGAAGTTAAAAGACACGTGGCACCCAGAAACTAGTTCATGCAGGAAGTGGTCAAGCTTTTGCAATAACATCATATTTTTACAATAA